AACTCATGCAGGCAAGGAGCATTTGGTGCCGTGTTGCAGTTTCAGATCGTGCAGGCAAGGAGCTTTGGTTCGTGCAGTTTAAGCTCGTGCAGACAAGGAGCATTGTGCCATGCAGTTTAGGCTCGTGCAGGCAAGGAGCTTTGGTGTTGCCTTTTATGCTCGTGCAGACCAGGAGCATTGTGCCATGCAGTTTAGGCTCGTGCAGGCGAGGAGCCTTGTGTCTTGCAGTTTAGGCTCTTGCAGACCAGGAGCTTTGTGTCCTATAGTTTAGGCTCGTGCGGACAAGGAGCTTTGGTTCGTCAAGCGATCTGAGAGAGTTGTTCCTCGCAATCTTCGTAGCAAGGAGCCTTGACTGAGTAGTTGAAGAAGTCTTCTGGGAAGATGTCACGCATCGTGATGGGGATGGATGATCTTCGTGTCAAAGTTTCATTATCTCCAACACTTTCACATTGTTCTAGAGGTGAACATGAGCTGTTTTGCCCCCTTTCCCATTGGTGAGCTTGTGGAGAAGACATATGCTTCTTGTGCAATTTCTTCGGCGTGACATAAGTCCATCCTTCAACTTCACTTGGCTTGACTGGCATGTTTTTGGAGCATGCCCCCAGCAATTGAGGTGAAAATTTTGAGTTGACAGAGCCGGAAGTGACGTCTTTTTCCAGGATTTCTTCTTCTTTGTCTTCTTGAGCCTTCTCTTCAGTGTGGTCCTCTTGGGTTTGTTGCCGTGAAGATTGGCCGGTGTAGATGATGGTGCGCCTCCTTACCTTCAGTGGTCCTTTTGTGTCGACTTCTAAAGTTGCTTGGCGTTTCATCCTTGAAGGAATCAAGCTTTGAACATCGTCTTTTCCTGCTAGACTGTCGAGCTTCTCTCCCTTTGGCGTTGTCTTCCTGTTTCTAGAAGGCTTATTAGTTTCTTCAAATCTGTCCAAAGCCGACCGTTGCGGAAGAGATCTAGCTGTGCCTCTTTGTTTCTTGGGTTTTGATAACCTTTCAAAGACTGATCTTTGCGGTGTTGGCGTCTCAAGCCTTTTGAAGACGAAAGTTTGGTCTCGACCACTGATGCGATCAAGTGCTGCAATTCTAGGTTTTGAATAATTCAGCCTTTCGAAGACTGAAGTTCGAGGGGTGGGTTTAGGCTCCTCTTTTGGCCTTGTGGCTTGTGGTCTTGGCTTCCTCATTTTGTAGGTCACCGATGTCCACCCTTTCTTATCACCAGTAGATGCATCTTGGTTGCTTGCCCCTGGTGATGGTTGTGTAGGAGGTGTCATGTGACTTGAACATTGACAGGAATGGTCATGCATGCTTCGGATATGCACAGGATCGAGTGATTCAAACACGATAGTAGTAGTGTGTGCCGCAACCGTGTCTTCGAGGTCAAGCTCGATTTCCCCTTGCTGTGCTAGCTTCAAGATGAGATCTTTCAGTACGAAGCACTTTTCCGTTGGATGACTGATGAAGCGGTGGAATTTACAGTATCTTGGGTTGTCGGTATGATTCATCTCTTCCGGCCGTCTGCACTCAGGCAAACTGATCACCTTCTTGTCCAACAAGTCATCCAGCATGGCAACTACATCAGAGTCGGGGAATGGATAAATCTTCTCCTCAAGCTCCTTCAAAGTACGTCTACGCATCTCTTGATCACGAAAAGCTTTGGTTTGAATCGCCTTGCCTCGTGTAGGGATTTTGACGGGAGCTTTGTTGACTGTCATTGCTTCCTTTGTGGATTTCCACGTAGCCTTCTCCACCTTTGTCTCAAGAACTTTGTCGTTCTTGTAGTTGGCGATCGGTTCCTTCTTCCCATGATGGGCGATGCTTAGCTCCATGTCATGGGCGCGAGTGGCTAGCTCTTCGAAGGTCCGTGGTTTGATGCCTTGAAGAATGTATTGCAAACCCCATTGCATGCCCTGGATGCACATCTCAATTGAAGAGGTCTCCGAGAGCCTATCTTTGCAGTCGAGGCTTAGAGTGCGCCATCTGTTGATGTAGTCAATGACTGGCTCGTCCTTCCACTGCTTTGTGCTCGTTAGCTCTAGCATGCTCACAGTGCGGCGGGTGCTATAGAAGCGGTTGAGGAATTCTCGCTCTAACTGCTCCCAGCTGTTGATGGACTCGGGCTCCAGGTCCGTGTACCACTCAAAGGCGTTTCCTTTTAACGAGCGCACAAACTGCTTGGCGAGGTAATCTCCCTCCGTCCCTGCATTGTTGCAGGTTTCCACGAAATGTGCGACATGTTGCTTCGGGTTTCCCTTTCCGTCAAATTGCATAAACTTCGGCGGTTGATAGCCCCTCGGCATCCTTAAGGCGTCGATCTTCTTTGAATACGGCTTTGAGTACAACTCGGAGGTATTTAAGCTCCCTTCGTACTGTGCCTTGATGGTGTTGGTGATCATCTCTTGCAGCTGCTGGATAGAAAGAGATCCCATTAGTGCCGCTGCTTGATCTGGCTCGGGCTTCGCATCGTTTTTCTCCACCTGAGGCTCATCTTCTGGGTTAGGGTTCTCGTCGTCCTGTGGCTCCAGTCGGCTGACGAGTGCAGCGATTTGCAAGTCTTTTTCTTCCACAGTTCGGGTTAGCCTTGCGATTGCTTCATTCATTTGAGCCAGCTGCTCATCGATTGAAGTTGCTCCAATGGTCATGACTTGCATGGCTGAACCGTCGCTTGAATCGTCATCGGAGAGCATGGATTCGGAGTATTCCCTTGGTCTTTCCCCCCTTGGTGCCCTTAGTGAGGCTAAGGTGATCATAGGCTCGCGCCTGGGGTACTCTTGTCCCTTTGGCAGAGTTGATGCAGAGGTGAAAGAGGTGGCAGAAGTAGCTCTTGCCATGCTTCGAGTCGTGATGCCCAAAGTGACACCACTTGCGACGAGGACGCTCTTGTTCTTTGCGCCGGTTGCGGGAACAGTTTGAGCCTTCCTTGATGCCATTAATTTTCGAAGTGCGCTTGAATTTTGGAGAAAGAGATGAGAGGCAGAGATGGTCCCACTGGGCGTGCCAATTTGTGAACACGGAAAATTCCTGAAACGAAAGAGACAAGAACAACGACGTGCACAAACAAATATTTGTATTTGATGATTTTGGGTTACAATCTCTCTCTATTTTGATCCTCTGATTCGATCTCCGTAAGGTGTTGATTTGTGGGATGTGCGATTGATCCAAGGGCCGTCGAGGCTTGATCTTGGATGAACGAGGATGAACGGATCTTCAAGGGCTTTTGGGCTTGATCTTGAAGAATGGTGATTGACGGATCTTCAAAGGCTTTTGGGCTTGATCTTGAAGAACAGTGATGAATGGATTTCCGAGGGCTTTTGGGCTTGAACTCGAAGAACAGTGACGAACGGATCTTCGAGAGCTTTTGGGCTTGAACGGATCTTCGAGGGCTTTTGGGCTTGATCTCGAAGAACGGTGATGAACGATGAACGCTTTCTTCAAGGGCCGTCGAGGCTTGGACTTGATGAACAGAGATGAGCGGATTCGTTGATGTTGTCAATCCAAAGGGGCCGTTGGGGCTTGATCCTTGAGGATGAACAGTTGATGAACGATGAACACTTTCTCCAAGGGGCTGTTGAGGCTTGGGCTTGAAGGTGGATGATTGTTGATCCAAGGGCCGTCGGGGCTTGATCTTGGAAGAACGATGAACGAAGAACGAAGAAGGCTTTCTTGATTCTTCGGAAACCTGGATGCTTGAAAGCTTCGGAGTTTCAGAGCTTCAGAGCTTCCGAGCTTTAAGGTGTAATGTGAATTGGTTCCTTTAAAATGAATGAAATAGGCTTGTATTTATAGAATTTTCCAAGGCCTAATTTTGAATATAATATCCCAGATGAAATAAGTCGTTTCTGCCAGGTGTTGACACGTGTCCTATTTGATGACTTTTCCAACTCATTTCAATTTTCGTTGAGTCACACGCTACGTGTAAAATTTATGTAATACATGAGCGTTGACACTTTGATTTACCGGTCAACATTTATTTACGAAATTTCGATGTCTACAAGAAGTTATAGGAAAAAAATAGAATTTAAAATAAAATGAAATAAATTTTGTGAAATAGAAGTTATAAGAAAAAATGGAATTTAAAAAAAAATAGATGAAACAAATTTTGTAAAATAAAAGTTATAGGAAAAAAATAGAATTTAAAAAATATATATGAAAAATAGAAGTTATAGGAAAAAATTTGTAAATAAAAAAAATAAAAAAATTGTTAAAAAAATTCAAAGCATTAACCGACAGGAATACGTTCATGTTATTTATAAATGTATTCCTGTCAATTAGAATCGACATGATTTCCATTTTTTCTGGTCAGCCCTTTCCGATTCCATGGGGCCCTCTCGGATTCCACAGCCCTTTGACCTAGCTCTCAGTTGGAGACGATTTTCGAACTATTTTTGGCCCTCTGGCCTTCTGGACCATTCAGTTAGAGATGGCCTTAGACATCGTGGAACTACTCTAATAATAGGGACCCCAAATTAGACCCTATACTCCATAGAGCCGGCCCTAAGGGTGTGCAAAAGGTGCCACCGAACAGGGCCCCTAATTCGGAAGGACCCCCAGATTTTAATTACATGTATACAGATGCATATAAAATAAATTAGAGGCAAAGGACAATCATATATGTGGTTCTAGCACTATCAGTTTAGCTCTTATACCTTGTAGCCCATGTGCTTGGTTCGAATCTCAGTGACATTGCTTTGTTGTTTTTTTTTTCTTTTGCAAATTTGCAAACTTAAAAAGCAGATAACAAAAACGCATCGAACATGTATCGAACTTAGGACCTTTGAAGGTAAGTGAAAAAAAAACTGGCCAATCAAACAACTTATTCTCATTGAAGTACTTTGTAATATATTCGTTTTATAGATAAAAAAAATTCCAAAAAAAAAGAAAAGAAAAAAAAATTAACATTAAAAAAAATTGAAGGGCCTCTATCTATGTCTTGCACAGGATCCCTAAATACTCAGGACCGGCCCTGATACTCCACGTCACCTTTCTGTCACTAAAACCCACCACGTATTCGTATTTAGAGCTACACCAGCACAAAGGGTTCCATCCAGTTTATATTTTGAGTCTTGAGGAGTTCAATATCGCGGCCATTGAAATGGGGAATTGTCAGGCGGCAGAGGCAGCGACGGTGGTGATTCAGCACCCGGGGAACAACAAGATCGAGAGGATTTACTGGTCTGTGGGCGCTCATGAGGTCATGACTTCCAACCCCGGCCACGTAGCTCTTGTCGTCAACTCTCCGACCATGAAGTCTGAGACTGGTGCTCCAGTGAAGCAGCTCAAGCTTCTCAGGCCTGACGACACTTTGCTCATTGGACAGGTTTATCGCCTCATCAGTTTCGAAGGTCATGTTTCTAGCTTCGTTTTTCAGTTTTTTAGAAACGAGTTTTAATCAATTAGCTTTTCTTTTGTTTATGGAGAATGTTTCAGTTAGATTATATAGTACAAGTTCATGTTTTCAGACGCAACAAACAAATGAAGGTAGATTAACTAGGGTTTACGTTTATATCCGATTCTTTGACAATATAAATGTTTTTCCGGCAAAGAAACTTACCGTATGACCATATAAACATTTGTCCGCCAAAATTGTAAGTGGATTTTTGGTTAAGATTTTAATTTTAATATTTCATATTTCATTATATATTTAAACAGATGTGTTGAAGGAGTTTGCTGCTAAAAAATCTGTGAAGCTGGGGAAGTTGCTGAAACATAGAGGTGAGCTTGGAGTGGAAATGAAGATGAAGGACTTGGCAGGTCAGAATTTGAAGTCCGTCAACAACAATTCCATCAAGGTAAATATAAACTTTAAAGACCTACATAATCAAACCATCTTTGCATCAATCATTGTTGAATCACATGAAATTATCAGGGTAATTTGGTCATTCAAAATTGACGTGATAATGATATGAAGCTCGGATATCAAGCACTATGTAGACCTTGAGTTTTGTTCTTCGGTAGTGCGGGATATGTATGTGAATGTGTGGGCATCTTCATTTTGTTTGTCACTTCAACTCATTAGGGCATCTTTGCCATCCAAAAAGGGATACTTTCAGATGTCTGTACGGATTTTTAAAAATAGTAGTAAAAGAAAAGGTTAAATCTGTGCAGAGGAGATATTTTACTGTGTCCTACTGAAATTAATTAAATTATCGTCTGCAATTCGAAGAATCTGATCTTACTTTTAAATCCACGTATCTCGAGAATGTAGGTTTTAATGGTAACACGTTTATTTTTGTCAGATACATCACTCAGGATAAAATATATGTAAGAATCTTACCCCAGTCAAAAGTTTCCATTAGGAAAAGAAGTTGTCGGAGTAGCATTTTATATTTAAGCTTAAATGTCAAAATGGTCTTTATGTTATAATTATATGATTAATTTAATCTTCGTGTTTTTTATTTGGCTAATTTAATTCTTATGTTTGTCTATAGTCAATTAAGGACATTTCATTCAATCTCTTTTAAAAAATTCATAAGAAAAATCATATAAGATATAATTACAGTTTCTCTTTACAAAAAAAAAAATGCAAATCAATAAGAAATAACATATATAAAAAAATAAAACTTTCAATTTGAAAAATGATTAAGGTTGTTACATAGAAAAGATAGGAGGTAATGTTAGGGTCAAATAAAAGGCCGAATTACACATTAGCATTTTGGTTTGAAAAATCGTTAAAGAGGTTCAACTTTTTTCATGTAATGTAATCTTGTTCCGTAACATACATGCATGGTTAGGTTCTCATCCATTTATTGGAATTTTGTGTTGCCATATTTGACGGTAAGCAATGGTGGCCACTATGTAAGATCCACTCACCGCATGCAATGAATTTCAAGTGCTAGAGTGTGGGCTATAGAACATATCAAAGCTACACATGTTTACATGAAAATGGTTTCCGCACATGTTTGCTTAAGGTTTATGTTCAAAAGAAAATAATTTTCGCACGTTCTTTTTTTTTTTTATATGCATGCTTACGCTTATTTCTCACATTCGTAGTGAATAAATTTCTTTTCTTTACATGCATACTTAAACTTAATTTTCACATTCGTAGTGAATAAATTAAAGAAAGCTAGAAGAACATAAATATATATATATATATAGAGATGTGCAGAAAAAGAAAAGAGCATGCAAAAATTATTTTTCGTGTTCAAAGTACAATAATTGGCATGGCTTATGTCATCATTCCATAAGTCTTCCATTGTAAATTTGCAATGGTTCATGGGATGCGTTTATGCCTTTATTGAAGGACTGGCAGATTTATGATGACAGAGGAAAGGTTCAACTGATCACTTTATGATTTGATAAATGATATACTTCTTGTCCAACAAATATTTGGTGGGGGTTGAGAATTCATTTTTCCCTTACCAATATTAGCACTGATAGAATTGGTTATCAACTGCTAACCATATGATGATTAAGTTACGTTTTTCTTAGAAGAACATGTCTAGTTAATGCATGACACTTAGACCTAGTTTGGGAGTGAGGTGCTTAAAAAAAATGCACCCATGAAAAAAGCTGTGAGGGTTTTAAGTATTTGGTAAACTGAAAAAAGAGAGCTTATTTTGGAAGCTGCTGTGAGAATAAGCTGAAATCAAAGGAAAAAGCTGAAGCTGCTATTTGTAGCTTTGGAAAACTGGTTTTTTTTCAAAGCACATGGAGCTACAATGCTTCTTTAATGAAAAGACCCAATATTAGAGTGCTTTTTTTTCCAAAAGCACTTTTACAAAAAAGTTTATCAAATACTCTGCTGATTTATTTCACAGCCGCTTATTCTCACAGCACAGCCGCTTATTCTCACAGCAGTTTTTTTTCAAAACATAGCAATACCAAACCAGCCCTTAATCTGGTAAACAACTTTAGTTAGGTTTGCTTCAAACTTGCTTAATTAAATTTAGGGGTCTTTTGGTTTAGAAAGATATTGATGCATGTTTTTAAAATACTTATTTATTTATCTCAGATGGAGATTGTGGGAAGCAACGGTGGCAGCACAAGCACTAACAACGGCAGAATCTACAGAAGCGTGGGAAGAAATTATGGTGGTGGTGGTGGAGATGGAAGTGGTGTGGGGCAGTGGAGGCCAGCCTTGCAGAGTATTGCGGAGATTGGAACTTGAAATATTAGTTTCCACTATTCATTTCTCTCCCACAACTCTTGATTTCTCTCCCACCAATAAAAACAAGCAGAAGCAGCGACTCCTCCTTTCGCTTTTTCCAATATCTTCATATATCTCTTCTTTTTTAGACTGATAGTTATTAGTTTCCACTACTCCACGTCCTTGCTAGCTATCCACGGCCTATAGGGTTTCCAGAGTTTAGATGTCATGTATAACTCATTCAACTTGGACACGTATACCACTCTTGCTTATTCGTGTTAACCCTTTAGTTTGTTGTAATTAGGTGCAAACTATCTTGCCCAAAGTTGAACTTAATTCCATTTTATTAGACTAATCAACCTTCCTTTGTATTTATCAAGCAATGAATGGGTAGCTTAGTATCAATGCTACGAATCTGTTTTATAATCTTTTCATTTTTTTTTAGTTTTTAGTTTTCATTTTTATGTTAGAGATTAGATGACAAATACATGAAAGAAATAAGGTATAAAAGTGTAGAAGAGTTAGAAGAATAAAAAAAATCTATAAAGAAAGATGTATAAAATGAAAATTAAAAACTCAAAATCAAAATCTAGTAAGTTATTGTTTTCATTTCAAAATTTTCTTTATGGGTAAAAGCTAGGGAGACTAAATGCGTAGAATAAATTTTGTAAACTAAATAATATGGAAGTTGATGATTGGATTATTACTTAAGTATTGATAAACGTATTTATTTCTTGTTGGTAACACATCATTAGTTGCATATTAAGTCTACAAATTTAGTCTAACCTAACAATTCTTTCTTTTTATATGTTTTCTTTGTATTTCTTCCTTTCATATCACCACCCTTCTTCATACTTCCTCTTCTTCAAACACTTTCCCATGTCTCAAACACAAAAAAAATGAAAACTAAAAATAAAAAACAAAATGATTATGAAAAAGACTCATATATACTAGGAAGTGTTATTGGCACCTCAGAAATCTCATTTTACACTCCTCACAAGTGTATTTTTGTTTCCAAATATAGAAAGTTTGAAGTGTAGAATGAGATTTTTGAAGTGCCAATAACAATTCCCTATATACTAATGGTGCTTAAAAGTAATTTTCTTGTACTCCAAATTCTCAGTGTAATCATATAAGCATTTATCTAGTAACGTAAATTAAACACAAAAGTTTATATATGCCCGAAAATTAAAATGTTTACGGTAGTTGTGGTCCTGATCTTACAAGATAATAATTAAATGAATTTGATGGATTTAATAGGTTGCTTGAGTTTCTTAAGAACTTGCTTCAAAGACATGCATTGACATTTACTTCTGCAGCATATACTGCTACATGCTTTGACTGAGGCCATATGCCGTAGAGCTTTAATTCTCCATTAATATGGCATTAGGTCCAATAATCCTGGCCACAGTCTCATACCAGAATTTCCCACAAATGCATCAAGTCATTTCACTCATTTTCTTACTAGTTACACACGGCAAACCTAATACATTGGTATTGAGGGTAGACCCTAATGGAGAAAGTTCTACTACACTCCGGTATGTTAGGATAGGAAATGGATGGAATGAGTGTTAAATGTGCGACCAAGAGTCCAGCAGTTAAGAATGGTCTTGTGGCCTCAAATATCGGTGTATGGTACACACCAATGTATATCAAAATTAAATTTCTGTAGAGCCATTCAAGTGGGGCAATTAGATAATATGATAAGTCTTGATAAAAGAAAACATACTTCTTTACTATGTTTGTGGTTAAATTAGTCGAATCTACCTTTACACTGCACAGTAAGGTTTTTTTAGTGCTCGGTCCACTAACTTTCTCTTTCAAAAATGTTGAATTAACATGCATATTCATGTTTCTTGATTGAATAATTGTCCTCATCTCCTGTTGTTGATAAGTACCCATCTTTAATCAAAATTCTCGCTTGGTGCTTTGCTTTGTCTGGGTGTTGAGGAGGCAATGGAAAGCTAGCAAGCACTAAAAAGCAATATAAAATTATGTCAAATTACATTTTTGTTCTTGAAACTTTGCTTAGATTATAACACGTGGGAGTCACATGAAAGGATAAATGTGAAAGTTTAGGCCTATGACACAAACTGTATAGGAAGCATATGCCTATTGAACTTATCAATCGTGTTTTACGTACCTGAATTGAAATGAGAATGAGTTATAGTAAAAAGGAGTTGAAGTAGGAATGATTCAGTGAGACTGCAAAATTGGATATTGTTATTAAAGTGGTTATTAACTATCTACAATCCTGCACATTTGACAGGAAAAAACTATATGTAATCATAGTGACAATGAAATTGAGTTCAACGAAACTATTTACTAATTGTAAGGAATCAAAATCAAAATTGTTGTAATAATTGTAAGAATAATTGAATGCCCACATGGGAATAGTAGTGAATGGTAGGGAGTTTAAGCATTGCATCATCCACTCACATGTCATGGTGATTTAAGCATTGCATTATCACTCAAATTTCTGGTGAAAGTGAATCAATGCCCACGGCATTGAAGAATTTCTTGGTTTTGAGTGAAGTTTTGGTCAATCCTTCTAGAAATTTATTCCTTCTTGCAACTTGTATTTGTTTCACCAGATTTTTAGCATGTTCATAGCCTCTTTTGTCTTCAAATTCGTCCCTTATCATGCCTCCATGCTTGCACAATCCAATCTTGGCCCAAAAATGCTCTAGAATGTTCCAAATTGCTCCTTTTTGCACACTTTGACAATAAAACCTGAAATTGCACGAAAATGACTTTAAACACTAAACTAACTAAGGAAAAATAACATAAATGCATGAGAACAAGCCAATTAAGTCGCATAAAAATGCTCCTATCACCTGCTAGATGGACCCTCGTGAAGAACTGCTAGCACCATGCCTACTTCTAGTTGTCAATATAACAATTACTTATATCTTTAATTTCTTGTTTAGTGTAGCTCGTGATTACTAACCCAATGTTTATTTATTTTTGCTGCGATCGAAGATGGTGCGGTATCATCGCCCATCTTGGACTACAGATTTAATTTTACTACAATTTTAGGTGGTGTGGTATAATCGCTCACCTTGCTATGCATATTTAAATTTTCCTGCTATATTGTTTCAATAAGAGTGGTGCGGTACAATCGCCCTCCTCATTAATCATGTAAATCTTGAGTCTGAAGTTTCGAATGCTTATCATTTTGGAATAAAGATCAAAATGAAAATTTTCTAAGAACCAAAAGTTTTAACATTATACTCCTCTAGAACACATATTATTGCAAGTTCTTACGCATCTCATTTTTCTTTCAGAAAAGAAAATGTGAACTTGGCAAAGCTTGATTTTGTTGCCTTAGATATTACTGGGAATAACTACCTTACATGGGTAGTGGATGCCAAAATCCATTTGGAGACAGGGAATCTTAGAGAAACCATCAAGGAGGAGAATAGTGCATCATCTCAAGATCGGGCGAAGGCCATGATCTTTATTCGTTGCCACCTTGATGAAGGACTGAAAAACGAGTACCTAATAGTTGAAGATCCATTAGCCCTCTGGAATGAACTGAGAAACAAATACAATCATCAGAAAATGATGATTCTTCCAAGGGCTTGTTATGAGTGGACTCACCTAAGGATCCAGGATTTCAAAACGGTAGTTGAGTACAATTCTGCAATGTTCAAAATTAGCTTTCAGATGAAGCTCTGTGGGGAAACCATCACTGAGGAAGATATGCTGGAAAAGACTTTCAGCATATTTAATGCCTCCAACGTGCTCCTGCAGCAGCAGTATACAGAGCAAGGCTTTACTGAGTACAACCACCTGATATCTATGCTTCTTGTAGCTAAACAAAACAATGAGCTTTTGATGAAGAATCATCAGTCTCAACCTACTGGATCACAATCATTCCCAGAAGTGAATGCTGCTTCCCTCGAAGTGAACACCACATCCTCTCGTAGCAATAATTACAAACGAGGATGTAGCCACAAGCTAGGCTAGTAAAATGAGAAAGGCAAAAATTATAGTGTCTAGTTTCACAACCAGGTTCCAAGGCATAATTCAGGCCCGAGCTTCAAGAATGCAAATCGCCAGAAAGGCAAAGTTCATATGAATAACACTCTTAGAAATCTTAAAGGAGTTTGTCATAGATGCGGTGGCAATGGACACTAGGTGCGTACCTGTCGTAGCCCAAAACATCTGGTGGATCTATATGAAGCCTCCCTCAAGGAGAAATGTGTCGAAACCAATTTTATCGACCAAGCTTAACCGATGGATATACCTGATCCAGTATTCGATTTATCAAGGCAATTGAACAAAATCCACTTGGATGTCTTTAGACTTCATTGTGGAAAAAGGGAATAAAGTGTATTCATCCTATTAAATCACTTCTGTTTGATGTATTCTTATTATTCTGAACTTGTAGTTTAAAGCTTGCATTTCAATTCAATATAAGTGGCATTTCAGTTTCCTTTTATTATGAATAAATTGTTTTTAATTGTGATTTCCTTACTCATAAAGCATGGATAAAAACTATGGTTATTATCAAAACAAGAGCAATGGCGGAGATATTTGTCTTGCAGACAACGTAACCACGCATACAATACTTCGAGATCGAAAATATTTCTTAAGCTTGATGCTTACAAAAGAAAAGGTGAAAACAATATCAGGCCAATCAGAGGTAATTGAAGGCTTAGGAAAAGTTCAAATCATGTTACCAAATAGAACAATATTGTCCATACAAAATGCGTTGTACACTACTCAATCTATTCAAAATTTGTTAAGTTTTAAAGACATAAGTTTAAATGGATAACACATTGAAACGAAAAGTGCAAAAAATGTGGAATATCTATGCATTACCTCCAATAAAACCCAGAAGCGTATATTTGAGAAGTTGCGTGGTTTATTGAGTGGATTGTATTATACATACATAAAGACAATTGAAACACATATTATCATGAACCAGAAGTTCATTGATTCAAAAATTTATATGCTTTGGCATGATCGTTTGGGTCATCCAGGTTCCACTATGATTGTAGGATCATTACCAACTCTAATGGACATCTATTATTAAGCAGACACATTGCTATCCCAAATGATAACCCTTGCAAAGCTTGTTCTCAAGGGAAGTTGGTAACTAGACCAAGATTGATGCTGAATCCCCATCATTTTTGCAAAGAATTCAAGGGGATATTTGTGGGCCTATTCAACCACCTTGTGGACCATTTCGATATTTTATGATTTTGGTTGATGCATCTACTCGATGGTCACATGTTTGCCTATTGTATACTCGAAATATAGCTTTTGCGAGACTTCTTACTCAGATAATTAAGTTGCTAGCACAGTTCCCAGATCACCCTATTAAGTCAATCCGACTTAATAACGCTGGTGAATTTACGTTTCAAACCTTTGATGATTATTGCATGATACTGGGCATTGATGTTGAACACCCTGTTCCTCATGTCCATACTCAAAATGGTTTAGCAAAAGCCTTTATCAATAGACTTCAATTAATAGCTCGTACCCTGCTTATGAAAACACAATTGCCAGTCTCTGCATGGGGACATGCCATTTTACATGCTGCATCATTGGTTTGATTGAGACCCATAGCCAACCACCAGTACTCATCAATACAACTCGTGTTTGGGCAGCAGCCAAAGATTTCCCATTTACGAGTTTTTGGTTGTGCTGTTTATGTGTCTATTGCACCGCCACAACGCATTAAAATGGGACCTCAACGCAAACTGGGAATTTATGTGGGTTTTGATTCACGATCTATCATTAGATATTTGGAACCCTTGACAGGTGATATGTTTACAGCTTATTTTGCTGATTGTCACTTTGATGAGACAATCTTCCTGTCATTAGGGGGAGAAAAGATCGTTCCAGAAGAACGGCAAGAGCTAACATGGGTTGTGCCTACCTTATCTCATTTTGATCCACGAAGCACTCAATGTGAAAATGAAGTGAAAAGGATCGTCCATCTTTAAAGTATTGCTAATCAAATGCCAGATGCATTTAATGATGCTTCAAAAGTGACAAAATCACATATACCAGCTGCAAATATGCCTACAAGAATTGATGTCTCTGTTAGACAAAATAAAGTGGCAACGAATGATTCATTCAACGCATGCTTGAAGCTTGGTAAACCCCCAGGTTCAAAAGATCCAGCCCCTCGAAAGAGAAAGATGAGGGCACAACTAAACCCAAACGAAATCATTCAGAAAAAGACAATGAATAATAAATCCACAATTCATGATTTTGAACTTTCAGAAAAAGAAAATGTCCTTAATGAGACACATGTCCCTGAAGAGACAGAAGCATATGAAAGCAAAGAAATCTCCATAAATTATGCATGTACTAACGAATTGTGGGATCGAAATGAAATAACCATCGACGACATGTTCGCATTCGCAGTAGCCAGTGAAATCATATTAAGCGATGATATTGAGCCCCGCTCTATTAATGAATGCAAACAGAGATAAGATTGGCCTATGTGGCAAAATGCAATCCAGGCATAATTGAATTCCTTGGAAAAGTGAAGTGTTTTTGGACCGATAGTCCAAACCCCACTTGGTGTAAACCTCGTGGGTTACAAACAAGAAAACGCAATAAGAAAAACGAGATTGCAAGATATAAAGCACGACTTATTGCACAAGGTTTTTCACAAAGACCTGGAATTAATTATGAAGAGACATACTCTCCTGTAATGGATGCAATTACGTTCCGTTACTTTATAAGTTTGGTGGTTTCAGAAAAACTTGACATGCAACTTATGGATGTTATCATTGCGTATCTATATGGAGAATTAGATACTGACATATGTATGAAAGTCCCAGAATAACTTAAGTTGCCTGAAACGACTAACAAACCATGAGGTATGTTGTCGATCAAATTAAAGCGATCATTATATGGGCTGAAGTAATCTGAACGAATGTGGTATAATCGTTTCAGTGAGTATTTGATCAAAGAAGGATATACCAACAATGTCATTTGCCCTTGTGTGTTCATTAAGAAATCAAATTCTGGATTTGTTATAGTGGCAATATATATTGATGATATGAACCTAGTTGGAACCCTTGAAGAGCTCAATAAAACTGTTGAATATCTGAAAAGTGAATTTGAAATGAAAGACCTTGGAAAAACAAAATATTGTCTCGGCCTGCAGATCGAGCATTATGTTAAAGGAATTTTGGTCCATCAATCAGCTTACATTAAAAAAATCCTGAAGTGATTTGGCATGGACAAGGCTTATCCACTCAGGACGCCAATAGTTGTTCATTCTTTGGACACTAAGAAAGATCCATTCATTCCAAAAGAAGATGATGAAATGGTCCTTGGTCCAGAAGTACCATATTTGAGTGCAATATGTGCTTTATTATATTTAGCACAATGTACTAGATCAGATATAGCTTTTTCAGTCAACTTGTTAGCTCTGCTCTAACAATTCGTCATTGGAATGGAGTTAAAGATGTATTGTGATACTGTCGTGGGACAACAAACATGGGCCTCTTTTACTACGAGAAATCCACAAATGACCAGACCCTTATTGGATATGTAGATGCTGGTTTTCTCTCTGATCCACATAAAACCCGCTCACAAACTGGATATGTATTCACTAATGGAGATACATCAATTTCATGGCGCTCAACAAAGCAAACATTAGTTGCTACATCTTCCAATCACTCAGAAATACTTGCTTTACATGAAGCAAGTCGTGAATGTTCTTAGTTAAGATCAATGATCCATCATACCTAGAATTCATGTAGTCTACCTTCAAAGACAGACACCCCAACTGTTATCCATGAAGATAATGCAGTCTGCGTTGCCTAAATAAAGGAAAGATTCATCAAGGGCGATAAGACTAAACACATATCTCCAAAGTTTTTCAATGCACATGAGCTTCAGAAGACTAAAGTTATTGAAGTCAGACAAATCCGCTCCAATGAAAATATGCCAGACCTGCTCACCAAGTCTCTACCAAAGTGCACGTTTCAGAAGCTAGTGCAGGGGATCGAATTCTATCGGCTTACCAATCAACTAAATTTGAAGAATGCGGAATTTGAGAGAGATACAATTCAGGGGGAGCATCCATGATACATGTATGTTGTACTTTTTTTCCTTCGACTAGGATTTTTCCCACAAGATTTTTCCTATCAAGATTTTAATGAGGCAACATAAGCATGCTTAACACTATATCAACAATCCGGGTAAAGTTGTACTCTTTTTCCTTCGTTATGGTTTTTTCCCACTGGGTTTTTCCGAACAAAGTTTTAACGAGGCAACTAATGTTGATATATGGGTATCCAAGGGGGAGTGTTGTAATAATTCTAAGAATAATTGAATGCCCATATGGGAATAGTAGTGAATAGTAGGGAGTTTGTTGTGTGGTACTTTTTCAGAAGAGAAAAATCACGAATGTTGTTGGATTTGTCACGGGTGTGACTTTCCATTCACTATAAACCTACGAATGTAGCTTTATAAATAGATCACTCCGTGGGTGATTAACACAACAACTGAAAGAGAAAATTACTGAAAGTAATAATATCAGTATCCATCCCCTCCTCTTTTTATCTGCAATTCTTTTGTGTTATAGCTACGAAACAAAACAGTGTGATATTTCATACCCGCTTTGTTCTTGTCTTTAGCAAAGGTTATCTTTCTAACTTTTGCTTATTTATAACAAAAATCAGTTTTGTTGGAGCATAATTCTTCACTTTTGGAATTAAAGATTGTAACCTGTACAAGATTACTGAACCTCGGGAGTGTGGGGGCACTTATGTAGTGCTAGCCAAGAATCATCTAAGATTAAGCCATTAAACTTGGTAGAAGTCTAGGCTCTAACAGTATGCTTCAAGCTTAGCAATTGAATTTCATTTATGATCAAGGAGAACAATACAGATCAGGGAAATGGAGTTGAAACATTAACCTAAAAAAAAAATAGAATGAGATTGTTTACACTAAAAATATTATTGAGCTTTGGTTTTGCCCTAATAAGACGA